ACCAGGGGCATGGGGACGAGATTGAGGAGCGTGGTTAACAGTGGTGGAAATAACATGTTTGTTGATTGAGGGTTAGGTTGCACATCTCATTTATTATAATTGCTATCAATAATCTTTTCACCTGTACAAAGTTCAATTGGCGTAAGTTGTGATAGATATGTTTACAATGACAAAGGAAAAAGAAAACTGCTGAAGCTGTTTTTATACAATCAAACATCTTATGGGCTTTGGTTTCTTGGTGTGGAGGTTTAGAGTCATGATTATTAGTTATGGCCTAATAATATGTATAGCGCTTCTATTCTACCTTCTAGTTCATTTCATAGTGTCTGGGGTTGTCAAAGCTTTTGAGGCAAGGCAAGGCAGTTGTTCTCTGTGCACTTGGAGCAACAGATGGATAAGGAGAATCAGTACTACGAGGTGGATGTGGAATATGTGGCTAATTGCCACCATGAACAGCTGCTTCCTTTACTGTGAGACCAGAAGAACTGGATGGTACCTGGCTACCATTACTGAACATTTGGATCAAAGATTCCTTAGAAGAATCTTGATCAAAAGAGGGAAAATGGAGAACAGAATTTCATATTTTCACGGACTCCACATTTCCTGGAGCCATGGGGCCTGGATCAACCCCTCAAACTATTGCCATGAGATGATCTTTAAACCTTAAACCAAAAGTATTCTTGGAAGTCTTCTTAAAACTAAATAGTAGTTTAGCTTAAATAGTAAAAAATGCCTGTCAGTTTGTTGTACTTTGGTGGCTTGCATGTTGCAGTGGTGCTGGAAGCTATGCTGCTACAATTTCAAATACCAGCAGGGTCACCCATGGTAGACAGGTTTCAGCAGAGCTTCCAGACTAAAACAGCCTGGGAAGAAGGATTGGGCCATCCAGCTCTGAAAAAATTGGCCACTGAAAACCCTATGAATAGCAGTGAAACATTGTTTGATATAGTGCTAGACGATTAACCCCAGTGGTCTGAAGGCAATCAGAATACGACTAGGGAAGAGATGCCTCCTCAAAGTAGAGTCTGCCTTAATGACAGGGATGGAGTAAGGTTTGGGGGCCTTCATTTGCTGATGTAGCATGATTCCAAGTGAGAAGAAACAGCTGCAGACATTTATTAATCATGCAAACATGGAATGTACGAAGTATGAATCTAGGAAAATTGGAAGTTGTCCAAAATGAAATGGAATACATAAAGATTGATATCATAGGCATTAGTGAGCTAAATTGGACTGGTTTTGGCCATTTTGAATCTGACAATCATATGAACTACTATGCTGGGAATGACAAATTGAATAGGAATGACATCACATTCATTATCAAAAAGAATATTTCAAGATTTTTCCTGAAGTACAATGCTGTTGGTGATAGGATAATAGTCATATGCCGACAAGGAATACTAGTTAATACTACTGTTATTCAAATTTACACACCAACCACAACAGCCAAAATGAAGAAAATGAAAATTTTATCTACTTCTGCAGTCTGAAATTGACCAAACATTCAGTCAAGATGTATTGGTAATTACTGATGTTTGGAATGCAGAAAGTGGAAACAAAGAAGCAGCATTGGTAGTTGGAATACATGAGCTTGGTGATATCGCCTCGGAAACCCAAGGAGCAGTCGCTATGAGTCGGGTTTGACTCAGTGGCACATAACAACAACAACAACTACAACTTACTCGTTGCAAATACATGTTTTCAACAATATAAATGGCAGCCATACATGTGGACCTCTCCAGATGGAATACACAGACATAAAATTGACTATATCTTTGGAAAGAGGCGATGCTGAAGCTCAGTATCATCAGTCAGAACAAGGCCAGGAGCTGACTGTAGACAGACCATCAGTTGCTCCAATGCAAGTTTAAGTTGAAGCTTAGAAAATTAAAACAAGTCCATGAGAGGCAAGATACAACTTTGGTTATATCCCACCTGAATTAAGCATCCATCTGAAGAACAGATTTGATACATTGAACACCAGTGACCTAAGACAAGATGAGTTGTTGGATGTGTATGTCATCCCACATGAGACACATCCTAGTACTGATTCTCTTTATCCCTCTGTTGTTCCAGGTGCACAGAAATCAACTGCCTTGTCTTGGATGGCTGCTCAAACACTTTTGAGACCCTAGCCAAACCAAAACCAAACTCAATGCTGTCAAATTGGATCCAACTCATAGCAACCCCTCCTTGGGTTTCTGAGGCAATATCACTATGGAAGTAGATTGCCAAGTCTTTCTTCCGATGAGTAGCTGGTGGGTTTGAACTGCCAGCCTTCTGGGTAGCAGTCAGATGCCTTAAGAACTATGCCACCAGAGCTACCTTTATGACCCCAGGCACTATGAAATGAACTAGGAGGTAGAACAGAAGAAGTGTTACACATATTATTAGGCCATAACTGGGCTGAAACCATGACCCTAAATCTCCACACTAAGAAACCATCAGCTTAATCTAGAAGTTCACATATGAGAACATCATACATGAAGAAGGTAAAAAGTCATTAAAAAAGCAGGAAAGGAAGAAAAGACCAAAAGGATGTCAGGAGAGACTCTAAAACCTACTCTTGAACAGAGAGTAGCTAAAATGGAAGAAAGAAATGATAAAAATAAGAAATGAATAGAAAATTTCAAAGGGCAACTGAAGAAAAGTGTTATAATGAAATATGCAAAGACCTGAAATTAGACTAAAAGGGAAGAACACTTTCAGCTTTTCTCGAGCTGAAAGATTGAAGAAAAATTTCAAGCCTCGAGTTAAAAAAAAAAAAAAAAATGCATCCATTGCCATCGAGTCAGATCAGACTCACAGCAACTCCTCCTTGGGTTTCTAAGGTGGTGTCACTATGGAAGTAGATTGCCCAACCTTCCTTCTGAGGAGTGGCTGGTGGGTTTGAACTGCCAGCCCTCTGGTTAGCAGTCAAGTGCCTTAGGTACTATGCTACCTCAAGTTCCAATATTGAATACTTCCATGGGCAAAATATTGAACAATGAAGTAAGCATCAAAAGAAGGTGTAAGGAATATATAGAGTCACTATACCAACAACAGTTGGCTGGTGGTCAACATTTCAGGAGGTGGCAAGAATCGGTGGTATTGAAGGAAGAAGTCCAAGTTATACTGGAGGAATTGACGAAAAACAACGCTCCAGGAATACTCATTGAGATAGTTCAGCAAACATGCAGTGCTAGAGGCACTCACTTGTTGATGCCAAGAAATTTGGAGGACCTGGCCAAAGAACTAGAAGAGATCCATATTTGTGCCCATTCCAAAGAAAGGTGATCCAGCAGAATGTGGAAATTATCAAACTACATCATTAATATCACACACAAGTAAAATTTTGCTGAAGATAATTAAAAAACAGTTGAAGCAGTATATTCACAGGGAATTGCCAGAAAGTCAAGCTGGTTTCAGCAGGAGGCATGGAAAGAGGGATATCATTGCTGATGTCAGGTGGATGTTGGTTGAAAGCAAAGCATACCACAATGATGTTTACCTGTGTTTCATTGACTATGCAAAGGCATTTGACTGTGTAGATCGGAACAAATTATGGATAACATTGCGAAGAATGGAAATTCCAGAGCACTTCCGCTCATGAGAAGCTGTACATAGACTAAGAGGCAGTCATTGGAACAGAAGTAGGGACTATGGCTTGTTTTGAAATCAGGAAAGGTGTGTGTAAAAATTGTGTCCTTTCACCGCACTTACTCGGTCTGTATGCTGACCACATAATCAGAGAAGCTGCACCATATGAAGAGGAACAATATATCAGGATTGGAGGAAGGCTTATTAACAACCTGTTATATGCAGATGACACAACGTTGGTTTCTGTAAGTGAAGAGGACATGAAGCACTTAATGATGATCAAAGCCTGCAGTCTTCAGTATGGATTACACCTCAATATAAGGAAAATTAAAATCTTCACAACTGGACCAATAAACAGCATTGCAATAAATGGAGAAAAGGTTGAAGTTGTCAGGGTTTTATTTTACTTTGATTCACAATCAACATCCATGGAAGCACCAGTCAGAAAATCAGATGATGTATTTCACTGGGAAAATCTGCTGCAAGGGACCTCTTTAAAGTATCACAGATGTCACTTTGAAGATTAAAGTGCCCCCAACCCAAGTGAGGGTATTTTCAGTTGCCTCATATGCATGTGAATGCAGTATAATGAATAAGGAAGACCAAGGAAGAATTGTTGATGTAGAATTCTCAAGATGGTATTGACTGCCAGAGGGAACAAATCTGTCTTGAAAGAAGTACTCCAGAATGGTCCTTAGAAATGAGAATGGCCAGACTTCATCTTACCTACTTTGGTCATGTTGTCAGAAGGAACCATTTCCTGGAGTAAGATATCATGCTTGGGAAAGCAGAAGGTCAGCAAAAAAAGGGAAGACTCTCAATGAAATGGATTGCCACAGTGGCTGCAGTGATGGGCTCAAGCATAGCAAAGGTTATGAGGATGGTGCAGAATCAGGCAGTATTTTGTTCTGTTGTGTCATATGGAGTCGGAGCTGACTCAAGGGCAGCAAACAACAGTAAAATAAATGTCTGCCGTGCGCATTATGCTCTTTTTAAGAACTTTCTACATGGGATCAAAGTGACAACATCAACTCAATAGATTAGTTAAGAACCTTAGGATGCAGTGAGTTTATATTAATGAGGGAGAAATAACTCAGAAAAGGAGAATGGGAATGGTTCCACAACTCAAAGAGTGTAATCATTGTCGCTCAGTTGTACATGTAGAAACTGTTGAATTGGTGTATATATGTATAATGAGTATGTGTACTGAAGAACAACAACAAAATAAAATTTTTAAAGTATTTGGCTTTCAAATTTGTTCTGCTTGTCCATGAGCTATATGAATAATGATAAATTAAGAATGTGATTATCACTACTACAATTAAAAGTATAGAAAGACCTGTGAAATGTAGTGGTATTTGACGTATAGAACATATACTTGGAAACATACTTTAGATGGTATGTATCTTTTTCTCTTTTAGGAAATGACCACGGGTGAACATAACCAAGATGAAACAGGTAACTTAACAAGGAAGCTACTAAAACTGCTTGACTAACACTAGCACAGTGATTCACTAGGTAGATAGTAAATGAATCAGAATGCTGGTTAGTTGAACAGAAGGATATAGTTATTGAGTATATTATCTCTAGGGGAAATTTGGATTCTTGCAATGTTCCTTTAAAAGGTGAGTCAAGAGTTAAACATTTAATGAAACTTTAATTGATCATTTTACCCGGATTTGCACAGATAAGACTATGTTCCTTAAAGGCATTAAGTTATTTAATTGGGTGGACGGGGCAGGCATTTTCAGTGAGTAAACACCAACAATTGAGATTTCTTTACTTGTGTATATAACCTGAACAAAACATTTCCATAGTAAAGAATAGTGTTAGATAATACTGTAACCTATAACTAGAAGATAAACACCTGAATTTAAAATATTTTTTAATTAAGCACACTTAAATTTCAAGATTCATTCTTATGTTTTAAGGCTGGTATATTTTCTTACAAGGTACCAACGATGGAAGCACCGAAGCTGCCATAGCTTTACTTACAATGGGAGATCTAGTGTTGCAGTCAGAGATCAGTACTGAACAGGGTGATGGTAAGAGTAAAAAATAAGACCTACAAGAAAAACTTCTAGGAATGTAAATGAATACCTGCCCTTTATGTTTGAAATTGGCGTTACTTTTGTTTTTCTAAAAAAGATAATATGTGTGCATTGACCCATCCGCTAACTTTCTGAACCCTTTTAGATGTGGTGGCAACTGTTTTGAGACAGTACACCAAGAATAATTGGTATCTTCAGAATAGTTAATCTAATGGATCTTCTAGCTTTATCATCATAAAGATCATTAGTTAAGTGAGCTTATTGATCACTGATCATTTTATGCAGGTTTCTTTAGCAAAGGGCTACTGCTTTGGATGTTGTTGTTGTTGTTGTTGTTAAGTGCCATCGAGTTGGACCCGACTCATAGCAACCCTCCTTGGGTTTCCGAGGCAGTATCACTACGGAAGTAGATTGCCCCATCTTCCTTCCGGGGAGTGGCCGGTGGGTTTGAACCACCAGCCTTCTGGTTAGCAGTCAAGTGCCTTAGGCACTACACATGGTCTTCACAATTATATAGCAATCAAATACAGTATGAAGGGGCAGTATAGCTAGCCACTTGAAATAATTTCATTTGAACTGTTGGGATAGTTGGGATAGTTGGGACAGGGCCAAAAGATTATTCAACCCAGATTTTTATTATATTATGCTGAATTGATAGATTAGTTTATGTTCTTTACTATACTATCTTTTACTTAAGTACCATGTTTTTACACAAACAGTGCACATGTTAATAGTTTTTTTGAAAACCATGCAACTCCCTTGTACCTTAATATCCTATGCATATTATATGTGTTGGTGTGTTATATTAGAAAGACATAGTATATTAAATGGATAATTATGCTAATTATATTTTTGGTAATAATTTTGACATTTGGTGAGTGGCTTACCATGCATTTCAGAAGGTATTAGGCATTTAGATCCATAACCACATTTTTATCAGGAAAGTCTAATTTGTATTCCTGCTAGGGTTGTTGTCTCACTGGTGGAGTATTGCAGTGGAGCTAGTCACAAACCTCTACAATGTAAAATATAGGTTTTTAAAAATTTCAATGAAGACAGTCTCATCTTTAAATTCATATGAGCTTATGTAGTTTTTGAGTAATAAACTTATTTTACAATACTAAGTTTCAGTCTATAACAATTTTTAAGTTCACACTAGGTCAAATCCCTGACATAAAACTGAAATTATAAACTTAAGTTTAGAGCCAATAAAAGCAAATTTAAAAATAATGTTACTGTTGGCTGCTATAGAGTTAGCCCCCTACTTATGGCAAATCCACAAACAACGGATCAGACCATTGTGATCCATGGGATTTTCAATGAGTGATTTTCAAAAGTAGATCACCAGCCCTTTCTTCCCTAAAATAATACAGAATTTTTGAATTGCTAGAAGTTGAAGAAATTATTTTATTTGGACGTATATTTATATTGAGTTTTTTATTTTTTTTCTGCAATAGGAATAGGTGTACTTCCTGAGGTTCATTCAAAGGATAACATTCATATACCTTCTAGCCCAGGTGATAGAAAGCACAGCATTACTCATGAATGTCAGGAGCTTTCTTTGCCTGTCATTAGTGTGTCTCCTGCTTCATTAGAAGAAAACAAGATTGTATTGGAGGAACAAAGTACTACTAGAGAAGAAAGTGGTTTAATGGAAAAAGTAAAGGAAAATGCTGTACCAGCTAGGTTGGTTTTACTTTATTAAACTATTATTTCTTTTGAATTTTACTAAAAAATAAGCATAAATAATAGTATTTGACTAATAAAAATATATTTGCCAACTGTCAATTTAGTTAGTACCTTTGAGTAATGCTTATACAAATGTAGACAGTTTTGACTTCTCACCCCTTAAGAAGGGTGATTTTGACTTTAGTGATGTGCATATTAAAATTATGTCTTTGAAACGTTAAAGAAATAGTTTTATGTAAATGTAGTCTGTGTTTTAAAAACAGCCCAGATTCTTTTTCCTGCTCAAGACTTTTTAGTAGTTACTGTTTTGTGATTTTAGCACTAAGAAATGAACACTTACAGACTCAGTGCTGGATAGAATGTGTAAGTGCTAGAGAGAAGAATCTTACATAATGAGTAAATTTCTTTCTTTCCATGTATTCTTTTAGGAATACAGTTTCTAAAGTGACCAATAATTTGAGAATAAGAAGTAGATTTCCCAAGCCTAAGCCAAATCTCACAAGGATTTTAGGGACCAAAAGGCTTGTTGCTCATCGTGAAGTTCCCAGTTTGTTTGTAACTAAAGGTCAAGAAGTGGAAATTCAGACAGGTAAGTTTTATTTTTCTCTTATAAAGTTAAAGTATTACTTTGACATAGGCATTAGCATTTCAAATGAAATATTCAGGCATTAAACTTGCTTTAACTTACTACAAAAAAGTGCAAAACATACAGAAAAGTAGAATGAATTGTAAAATGAGTATCTATAAATCTACCAACTCATTTCAGTAATCATTGCCATTTTGCTCCATTTGCTTGATTAATCTTTTTATCTCTTCATATTTATTTTTTCTGTGTGTTTGTGCACACTTGCACAAATATTCAAATAACTGTCTCTTAGAAATGCAAGGCATGTGGCAAAAACGAAGACAGCTCCTCAAAGGGATAAAAGGAAGAAAAGCTCTCTCCTTCCTTGATTTTAGCCTTCTAGGCCTACTTTTGGGAGCTCTGGTAGCATACCAGCTAAGATACTTGCCTGCTAACCAGACGGCTGGCGGTTCAAACCCACCAGCCACTCCTCGGAAGGAAGGTTGGGCAATCCTACTTCCGTAGTGATACTGCCTTGGAAACCCAAGGAGGGGTCGCTATGAGTCGGGTTTGACTCGACGGCACATAACAACAACAACAACAACAACAGGCCTACTTTTAATGGGAAACTGTTGTTAACAGTTTTTTGTTAATACATCTAGAAATGTTTTATACACATAATAAGCACCTATATAGATGTGTATATATACATATATGCAGACATACTTAAGCCCTACAGAAAGAACAAAAATATGTGCGTACTCTATCATATATAATATTGAGCACTTTTTAAAATAACAGCTTTATTGTACTGTAATTTGGATACATTGTAGTTCAGCCATTTAAAGTGTGTGACTCAATGGTGTTTAGTATATTCATTGAGTTGTATAATCAACACCAAAGTCAACTTTGGAACATTTTATCACCTCAAAAATAAACCCTTTACCTGTCTATTAGCAATAGCTTCCAATTTGCTTCCCAGCCCCAAACAACTGCTAATCCACTTTCTATATAGATTTGCCTATTTTGGATGATTTTTTTAAATATAATTGTACAGTGTGGCTTTTTGTTTATACACTGTGTGGCCTTCTTTCACTTAGCATAATGTTTTCAAAGTTCACCCATGTTGTAGCATGTATCAGTACTTCTTTTTATTGCCAAATAATACTCCATTGTATGGATGTATCCCATTTTGTTTATCCATTTATCAGCTGAAGAGTATTTGGGTTGTTTCCACTTTTTGGCTATTATAGTAATGCTGCTATGAATATCAATGTATAATTTTTTGCATGAACTTATGTTTTCATTTCTCTTGCATGTATACCTACAAGTAGAATTGCTGGCACATACAGTAATTCCACGTTTAACTTTTTGATTGTCTATCAGACTGTTTTCCAAATCTGCATCATTTTATCATCAGCAGTGAGGGTTCCACCTCTTCTTCATTTGCCCTGACACTTGTTCTTATTTGTCTTTTTGATTCTATTGGCTACTGATGTTAAATTTGTTTTCATGTGCTTATTTTTATATCTTATTTGGAGAAATGTCCATTCAGATCTTTGTTGTCTATTCAGATCTTTTAAATTGGGTTATTTAGTCTTTTATTAATGAATTGTAAGAGTTCAGTGTTTTTTTATTTTTAAAACTTAATAATATTGAAAATTCTTTCTGTATAATTACATAGAATACTATTTCTTATTTTTAATGGACTCATTATATTTTAATGTATATTTTGACTCCTAATCACTTCTTTGTTCATCTCCCCTCCCTGCTAGCAATCCAACACCTTAGGGTGATAGTAAGGGCAGTAAAAGCAATGCAGGTAGCATGCTGTCTAGATTATGTTGAACACTTACCCAGAAGATCTGTATAGTTAGCATCATCTTTTCCCTGTCTGGAATTCCTTATTTCTATTATTTCCCTGCAACAAGCAATGCCTTATGGTATGACATGAATGTATAGTTTTTAAATTCATTATTATTTTTTTGACATTTAAAAATATTTTTATTGTGGTAAGATATATATAAGGAGCTCTGGTGCTCCAGTAGATTTCACCATGGAGTTAATTACCAGTCTCACCATGGGGAATAACTACATTCAGCTGCCCAGCCACTCAACCAGGCCCAGCCAGGTTGATACATAAACTTAACCAGCACACTTACCCTTTAAAGAAACTCAATGTCCCTATGTAATAACTTCCCTTTACCTACTCCCAGCCATGCCTGGTAACAACTAATAAACTTTGGTTCTATATGCATTTGCATATTCTAGATATTTCATATAAATGGGATTATACAGTATTTGTCCTTTTATGTCTGACATTTTTCACTCAGCATAATGGTTTCCAGATTCATTCATTTTGCAGCATGTATCAGGTTTTCATTTCTCTTTGTGGCTGAATATTATTCCAATGTATGTATATACCACATTTTGTTTATCCATTCATTTTTTTGCCCTTGTGAATAATGCTGCAGTGAGCACTGATGAACAAGTATTTGTTTGAGCTCCTGCTTTCAAGTCTTTGGATTATATACCTAGAGGTGGGTTTGCTGGGTGATATGATAATTCTGTGTTTAACTTTTTGAGGACCTGCCAAACTGTTTTCTACAGCTGCTCCAGCATTTTACAAACCCAGCAGCCATGGATGAGGGTTTCAGTTTCTCCAGATCTTCACCAACACTTGTAATTTTCTTTTTTTTTTTTTGACAATAGCCATCCTCTAAAATTCAAACCAAACTCACTACCATCAAGTTGATTCCGGCTCATGGTGACCACCATTGGGTCTCCAAGGTAGTAAATTTTTATGGAAATAAATTGCCCAGTCTTTCTTCCGTGGAGTGGCTGGTGGATTTGAAGCACCAACCGTCTGGTTAGCAGTCTGACACCTTAGGCACTGTGCTACCAGAGCTCCTTTTAGCCATCTTAGTGAGAATGGTATTGTTTGATAATTTCCATATTCTGTGGGATCACCTTTCTTTGGAATGGGTACAAACACAGGACCTCTTCCAGTCAATTGGCCAGGTAGCTGTCTTCCAGATTTCTTGGCATAGACAAGTGAGTGGCATAGATTTGGCATGCATTTGTTGAAACATATCACTGGGTATTCCATCAGTTCCTGGAGCCTTGTTCTTTGCCAATTCCTTCAGTGCAGCTTTGACTTCTTCCTTCAGTACCATTGGTTCTTGATCATTTGGCACCTCCTGAAATGGATGAACAGCAACCAATTCTTTTTGGTACAGTGACTCTGTGTACAGATGCAAGCTGGATTCAGAAGATGTGGAACAAATATCATTGCTGATGCCAGATGGATCTTGGCTAAAAGCAAAGAATACCAGAAAGATGTTTACTTGTGTTTTAGTGACTATGCAAAAGCGTTCAGTTATATAGAGCATAACAAACTATGGATAACATTGAGAAGAGTGGGAATTCCAGAATACTTAATCATGTTCATGGGGAACCTGTACACAGAACAGAAGGCAGTCATTCGAACAGAACAAGGGGATACTACATGGTTTAAAATCAGGAAGGGAGTGCGTCACAGTTGTATCCTTTTACCATACTTATTCAGTCTGTAAGCTCAGCAAATTATCTGAGAAGCTGGACTGTATAAAGAAGAACGTGGCATCAGGATTGGAGGAAGACTCAACAACCTGTGATAATGCAGATGACACAACTTTGCTTGCTGAAAGTGAGGATGACTTGAAGCACTTACTGATGAAGATTGAAGACTACAGTCTGCAGTATGGATTACATCTCAACATAAAGAAAACAAATATCCTCACAACTGCGCTGGTAGGCAGCATCACAATAAATGGAGAAAAGATTGAAATTATTGAAGGTTTCATATTACTTGTATCCACAATCAACAACAATGGAGGCAGCAGACAGTGTATTACAGTCGGCAAATCTGCTGCAGAAGACTTCTTTAAAGTGCTGAAGAGCAAAGATGTCTCTTAGAAGATTATGGTGCACCTAACCCAAGCCATGGTATTTTCAGTCACCTCGTATGTGTGTGAGAGCTGGAAAATGAATAAGAAAGACTGAAGCAGAGTTGATGCTTTTGAGTTGTGGTGTTGGTGAAGGATACCGAAAGTACCATGGACTGCCAAAAGAACCAACAAATCTGCCCTGGAAGAAGTTCAGTCGGAATGCTCCTTGGAAGTAAGAAAGGCCAGACTTTGTTTGACCTACTTTGGTCATATTGTGAGAACGGACCATTCCCTAGAGAAGGATATCATGCTTGGTAAAGTGGAGGGTCAACAAAAAAGGGGGAAACCCTCAACAAGATGGATTGACAAATGGCTGCAATGAGGGGCTCAGGTATAGCAAGGATTGTGAGGCTGCTACAGGACTGGGCAGTATTTCGTTCTGTTGTACACAGGTTCACTGTGTGTCGGAGCTTACTCACCAAGACCTAACAACAACAGTGGGAATGCAATGGTATTTAATTATATTTAAATATCAGAACATTATATTAGAACAGTTTTTACATGTACCATTTAGTGACATTGATTGCATCCTTCAAGTTGTGTAACCATTCTCACCCTACTTTTCTGAGTTATTCCTCCATCATTAACACAAATTCACTGTCCCTTAATGTTTCTATCTGTTCTTTTGAGTTGGTGTTACCAATTTCATCCCATGTAGATAGTTCTTAAAAGTGCATAATTCTCAAGACAGACATTTTTTATAGATATGCTAAATTATTATTAGGTTTTAAGAAGACTTCCGGGGGATGTTTTTGGGTTCAAGTTTTAAAGAGTATCTCAGGGCAATAGTTTCAGGAGTTCATAACACCCTTAGTAGCTCCAGGAAGTCTTGAGTTCATGAGAAATTCTGAATTCTTGAAAATTCTGTTCTGTGTTTTCTCTTTGTTGATCCTTATATATTTGCCTTTTCATGTAAGTGAAGTCATACAATATTTCTCCCTTTATGAATGACTTATTTTACTCAGCATAATCTTTTCCAGCTTCATCTATATTGTAGCTTTTATCAAGATTTCATTTCTCCTGCTGGCTGAGTAG